GAATCATCCAAAAATATTGAATCTGGTCTAATAATAACTTTATCATGAATCCTGATTGAAGTTGCTAAATCTTCAACCAAATTTTCACTTGGTTCACTTCTAGGTTATGAGATTTTCGCTGGGATATGGTTATTAGTTTTGTGTTCCTTTCTTCGATTCCTCCGAAAAAAATATCGATAGCATCAGAAAGATCTTGAAAAATATCCATAGCTACAGGTGATGACTCGATTTTTTTTTTCAACGTTTCAAATATTAAACTGGATTGATAAATGTGTAAAATTAAATTTGCGACAATTTACGCTCCTATTTTTTATTATTTTCTTCATTTCTTTTTATATTGCAATATGTATGTATGTATGTATATATGCGCTTTGTTGTGGAAAATGTTGAATATCTTTTTAAAAATCTTCTATAAATTCTAAAAGAGTGCGTATTTAGAAAGTAGAATTTAGAATTTTTTAAAACTATTTTTCAAAACTTTTTGGCTTTACTCTAGTTTTTATTATAAATTATAGGCCTATTGGCCTATATATAGGCTATGTGTGTGGGTATGTGTGTTTTGCTGTGGAAGAAGTCGAGTATCTTCTTAAAAATTCTAAAAATTTTCGATTTTAATTTTGTAAAATGTAAATTTTCAAAAAACTATTTGGATTTTTGTAATTGTATTATTTGGCACTGCTCTAAACTCTCATTAATTTGTAATTTAAGTTTTTTTTTTGGAAGAATTTCGTCTTTTTCTTAAATAATTTTAAACAATTTTGATAGTTTGTAGTAATGTTTTAAATTTTGCGTTTTCAAAATTTTTTTCGAATATTTCTTGATAACTTTTTTAGAAAACTGTAAAATTCTGAGCTTAGTAATAATTAGTAGTAATTCTGAGCAAATTTATTTTCAGTTTCAGAAAATACATATAATGTTTAATTCCAATTTTTTAAAATTTAGTTGATAATTTTTGTATTAAAAATTACTAAAAACTAATAAATTGCAAAAATTTCAGTTAAAATAATTAAATATTTATTATAATATAGAATTTTTATGATTACTTTTGAAGAAAATCGTGTTTATGGAAAGATATTTTCAATTACAGTCGAGTTTCATATGTTTGAATTTCTGTGTTTTTAGATGCGTAACAAAGTACATCAACTTGCATATTTTTCTTTAATTTTAAAAATTCCATATACTTACATTATATGCCAACCATCAACAGCAAGGAGGTCCTAACCAACAGCTTAGAGAGAGAGGAGGAAGGACTGTCAAGATCATCATCATAGTTATGGCGGGTGGGTTTACATCCCTATAACAGCCATTTCCGTTACATTTAAAGTATTTTCTGTTGTTGCTTTGTACATGGCTCGTCTGCTAGTGACATCTGAAGTGTGCTTTCTCCACGTGTACCACACACCACCTAGTGGCATGTGACGTCAGAAATCTAAACACCTCGATCGATAATGGATTACGCTTGTTGGATTCTTCTAAGTCGAGTACACTTGTGACAAAATATCGGCAACTGTTATGAATGTAGATAATTTGTTAACGTTAACGAATGAAGAAATTTGTAATTTATAATGTTAATATACTGTTTTGATGTGTATAAAGTGGAAATTACGCGATTTCAGAAACGTATTTAGTACTTCAAACTTATGTAACTCGCCAGGGGTGCTCTTGAGCATGCTTCAAACGGCTTTGACATTAATTTTTTAATAGATAATTATTAAATATTAATTATAATTGCCATTTTTATGGCCTAAAGTATTATTTCTCAAGCATATCTTAATCGGCGACATTCTTTAATATATTTGAATGAGATCTCAGAAACGCCTAACAGTTGCGAGTTACTGGTGTAAAGTGTCTAAGAATTATAACAAAGAAAACAATACTATTGAAAATATAGATTTATCATTAATATAAACAACTAAAAGTGTATTTTTAGAAACAAATTCGATATTTCATGCAAACCGCTGCATTATGAATATTTAGAATTTTCTGTTGAATTATGAATATCTTAATAAGACAATAGAAGTATAACATTTCCATAAATACTCATAATTAAGGAAAGTTAAAAGCATACATAAACTAATTTCCTTTGTAATATTATTATATATTTATTAACATAATTGAATGTTATTTATTTAGCTGGTTATCGAGGATTTAAAGACCGAATTTATTACAGAATTTATTTGGCCCGCTGTTCAAGCTGGAGCAATATATGAAGGACGATATTTATTAGGAACTTCTTTAGCACGACCTTGTATTGCGAGAGCGTTCATTAAGTTTGCACAAGAAGAAAATGCATCTTACGTAGCTCATAGTGCTACAGGAAAAGGAAATGACTAAATAAGAATTGACAAAAATTTGAGGTTAAATTACTCGTATGTACTGTACTGCACTTACGTTTTTATTCTTATTTACTAGACAATGTCGTATGACCTTCACGTATTTATTATTAAATTTGAATTTTCAGTGTAAAAGTAATTTAAAATTTTTCGATATCATCTCTTATTACTTATTTAAGATTTAACCAAATTTGAATTATCTTTTATTTTTTAATTATTTTTTGCCCTGTGGGCACTAAGAGCGTCTTTTAAATCGTATTCATCGTGGATTCGACCAGATCCACAATAGGGGAGACCGGATGATTAGGAATGAGACCCAACATACCAGGGACAGATTGTACTCCGAAATATTCCAGGAGTTTTTTTCGGCCACTCGGATTCGATCCTAGGTAGGCTGATGCCTTTACCGCCTCGGCCATACCGTCCAAATTTGAATATAGCCTAATATGTTGAACATTCTTCAATCTATCAAAAAATATGGTATACCAAATTAAATTATACTTTCATAAATTTTATTATTATAGAAAGTTTTTATTTAAAAAAAAACATTTGATACTTAACTATATTTTCTTCTAAAATTTAACCAAAACTTACAGTAATATTGATAATATTAAATAGTAACAATCATTATAATCTTTACTGCATTATGAGCTATATTAAATTACTAACAAATAAATTGAATTTTATTTTTAAAAACTTACACTAACTTCGTTTAAAAAATTATAAAATTTTAATGTATAATAATCTGGCAACTCTTACTTATTCGAATAATTTATTTATTTAAACAATCTGGCAACACAAATTTTTAATGTAACGTTGCCAGATAAATAAGCACTAATTGGCAACATTGATTAAATTCAGTCTAAAACTATTTATTTAACAAATTTAAGTGTAAATAAATAAATAAACTATATAATTTTATTATTTTTTCGATTTAAATGATTGATTTATAAATGATTAAATAACAAAAGTCTATGATTAATTCAATTATTCTTTTGAGTCTTTCGATTAAAGTACCGACTTAAAGATATAAAAAAATAAATAATATCGGTAAGACAAAAAGTAGAAAAAATTAGAATAAGAAATAAGCTTATCTTCGTTATGAAAGTAAAATCTTAAGAGCAAATTCGATTGTTTGCTTGGCATCATTGTATAAAGAAAATTCTTGTTTAATCTTTGATGTCCATCTTAGCGTATTGAACAACTAATCCAACAAATTGCTTAAAGCTAGACATGTTTAGAATACTTTAGTCTACATCAATATGTATCTCTTTCCCTTATTTTTTTCCCTATCTTTAATTATTTTATTATATTCACTATTGCCATTTACTAGATTAGATCATTTAGAGGATCATCTTACTCATCAAATAAATTTCCATCGATTGAACTCTTCATAATTCAAAAAAAGAAAACTTGAATAAGAAATTAATTTCCGGTGCTTTCTTCTAAAAAAACATCGTAAATTAATTTCTTATTCAGTTTTATTTGACGAAATCTTTTCTTCAGATGGAAGATACTTTATGGTCACGATATCAAATCATTATTTAGTATAGTCACACCTTTTCGCTAAAGGAAAAATATCAGTAATAACTCTTAACGTTTCTTCAAATAATTATTTTATAAATGTGTTGTACGTTTTTTATATAACATTATACATTTTTAAAGAGTTTTTTCATTGATTTTCTACGTGAATGACTTCTTTAACGTGTTAGATTCGTGAAGATTTCGATTATAAATGATAAATTTAATATCGTTTTGTAAACTATTATGGGAATGGAATCACGATTATTTGAACAATTATTTTTTTATTTAGCCATTATTTTATTTAATATTTTATTTTTTAAGCATGGTTTTAAGCTTGTTTACTGTTTGTCCATTAATTTTTATGGATTAAATTCAAGTTAAAATTAATTGTTGAAAGAGCTTTTAAGAAAGGTACTTGATCTTTAAATTTTATATATTCTACTAGTTTTTGATTCTAAAAAATGCACGTATATACTAAAATTATTGAAATTTAATTTTTTTAGATTCAAAATTCTAACAACACATTAAAGTTTACGAATTATCGAGTGGAAAATTTAATCTTCAACGAAATATTTATGAAAAAAAATTAATCTTATTTAATCAAAATTCGAATCGAATTTTCTTTAAAAAATCAAAATCGATTCGAATTCTAGATTATAAAATAAAAAAAAAAAACTCGCCATTTATCATCCTCTCCGAAAGTAAAATCGAAAGATTTGTATATCATTCTGTTCAATCTAAGCAGAGAAGAGAAGAGGATGCAGTTTGTCGGAAGAGATGGATTTTTTTTAAAAGAATTTTCATCTAATTTTGATATATGTACTTTAAGGCTGATAATTATATTTTATGATCATCGATATCGCTCTACGCGCATTTAAAATTGTTACTTCGCATCAAAGCATCTCTCATACCTCTCGAGTTAAAACAGTAAATTCACTTCCTCTTCCTTTATATAATGACTAAATACAAAAATTATTATCCATAGATCATATAGATTTACTTATTTTACCCGTAAATTTTACAGAATTTTAAATTTAAGAGCTTAAAACTTATAAATTTATATGTTGATCCTTTCGTTCATCATATCTGTCTACATGGAGAACTTATTCTACCAACATAAAATTTCTAAAAAGAAAATTCACTTTTATCTAAAAACATTTTATTTTTATTCATAAACAACAAATAACAATTAATATACGTGTACAATTAAATACAATTAAAAAAACTTCTGTATACGTTTTGCGTATCATAATACTGAAAAACTGGATATATTTTTCAAAATTGATACTAGTTCTTTACTTGTGGGCCTCTTTTGGGGTTCAGAATTCCAGCATTTCTTAGCACAAGCAGCATAAGAATGATCGTGGAATTTAACTAAACAACCGAACTCAGGTCTTACTTGACAAGCAACCACCTACAGAAAAAAAAAATTAATGAAATCACGTGCTAATTTACTATATAGCTCTCTTCCTTTACTTACACTGTATATGAGGGTGTGTAATTCTGTATCCGGATAAGGTATTTCTCTAGTATACAACTGCCACATTAATATACCAAAGGAGTATACATCAGATTTAGGAGTTGGAGTCGAACCCCTTAATACTTCTGGTGCACAATATTTAGGTGTACCGAGTATGCAGAATTGTAAAGATGTTCCCTTTCTTATAGAACAACCAAAATCTGCTAATTTACAATGATCGAAACGCGATACTAATATGTTTGATGGCTTCAGATCTGAGTGAACCACATCGTTACTATGGCAGTATGATATTGCTGAACATATTTGACGACAGAATCTGTAAAAAAGAAAATTGATTTTAATAGCATATAATATTTAAAATAATTACTCCTGGAACCATTATTTTACCTCATTCTTCTGTTAGTTAAGAATCTCTCTGAAGAATCTAGAATTTCTTGAAGACTCCTTTCTCCGCCTATGTCCATAACAATTAAACGAATATTTGTGCGATCCTCGATAGCCAAAATCCTCACTAAATGAGGATGCCGAAGATTTAACGCATTAATTTCTCCTATATTAGGATCTTTAGGCTTTTTACAGATTTTTAAAGCAACAATATCCCCTGATAAATTGTAAAATTCATCAAAAATCATAAAATAATAGAACTGAAATTAAATTTATAAAATATGCAAATTAGATTTTTTTACTTTTTAACTTTCCAGTTACAACCACTCCAAAAGAACCTCTACCGAGTTTTGTAATTCTAGGACCAATTTCTACTTGATGAAGAAGACAGGAACAGCAATTATCTTCGCAAGATTGGCAGAAAGTCCTCTTAGTTTTCAGACAAATGTGATTTTGTGAACCGATTAACAGTGATAGAGTGTGATCATCACACCTTCCTAAACATCTTGTATTCGATATTTCATGATTCCATATGGTTCTACGTACGTGTGAATGTAGTTTCGATACTTTTCGAGTGTCTCCCAATGGACTACAGCGTAATCGTTTCCTGCATTTTGGAGTCAATAGTCGAACAACCTGTCTCCTTAATTTGGGAGATGGAGTGGATCTAAGTTGAGAAATTGGCGAATTACGCCTCACCAGACTCTTAACCACAGACATAAGAATCGATTCAATTAAACTACCAAAGCACGAATCACTCTTCTGCAGCATTAATTTGCATACAGCACGTGTCAAGTTGGGTGACAAATTACGTCTCATTCCTCTACTAAAATATACTCAAAGTTCAAATTAATTCCATTTAATTTTCTGTAATAAATTATAATTTAAATTTCCTATTTTTAAAAATCAATAAATAATATAACTTTAACAATTGCGAATAACGTAATTGTTAAAATTACCAATTAGAAAATATTCAAAAAAAATTTAAATGTCTAAAAAAACCGCAACAAAAAAGCCAAAAAATATAAAAATTAAATGTCAAAAATCAAGAAAAGAATATAAAAAAGATGCAATTTAATAAGATTAATTTATTATTATGATTTTTTTGAAGGAAAATAGGGTATTTTTAGAATAAGTTAAANACGTAAGCATTGGAAATATGTGCAAAAAATAAACAGCAGAATACTGTGTATATATAACTATATATATATGCATATAATTTATAGAAAATAAAGAATTTTTTTTTATTTTATGAGTATATCCTTTCATTAATATGGATGTCAAAGGTAGAGAATGTTTTGGTGATATAATATCTAGGAAAACAAATTCCCATTCCTCTGTACAAGGTTGCAATTTAAAAATACAGAAGAAAAAAATAATAAAAAGATATATCGTGGAAGCTATTTTCAAAGTAGCATCGAGACATGACGAATGGAATAGCTGTCACGAGAAGGTCTATATCTTTGAACAATTGATGACTCTACTACATCCCCAGAATAATCGCTTCCCAATGTGATTTTTTCCTAATCATTAATAAAGAAAAAAATCATTTTAACAATATTAACCAAGTGAAAAGAGGTTGTTTAAATAGTTTTTAAACGAATACACAATAAATTTCTTTATTTTTTAACTTTCTATCCTCAGCGGGATGCGCTCTTTCTGGGATCTCTTCTTACACTTTGCAATCTCAAATTACAAATGGTAGACGAATAGATTCTTTCTTTACTTACCCTTAAAGGAATTTAAATAACGGCAAACACATTTTAGGATCTTTATAAATTTAAATTTGTCAAAGAATGATCGATGGTGTGATTGAGAAAGAAATAAGACTCCAAAAACTGAAGACACAATTTGGTACTTCGCCATTCTAAAATATCTAAATTGGTAATTGAAACTTAAGATACTGAGACTTAGAGGGAGAAAAACAGAAAAAAAGAAGATAGAAAATGAAGCTGAGAATAATTATCTTGTAATCACATCATTGTTTAGGGAATTTTTACTCTTTTTTCTTATTCCTTCTTAGGGGAATTTCTGCTTTTCGTTTATTAACTTATGGCTTTTAATAGAATTTTCTACTTTTAATTACTATTTAAACTTAAAAAACAAAAGTTTAATTCAAATAAAAGATTTTAGTTGATTATATTTGTGTAAATGAAGTTTTTATTATTTAAATATGGCTATTTTTTTAATAAAATTGAAGTTGTTTGAATATGATATGATGTTTATTAAGTTAAATTAAATTTAATATTAAAATTAATGTTGAAAATAAATATTTTATTCTTTATTTACCTATTTTAAAGTTTAAATTAATAATTTAATAAAATTTATCGTCATAAAATCGATTTTCGTGTAGTTCTATGAATACCTGCAACACACACTCCATTAGCCTACATCATTGTGTTCTGTATAGATTCATTATTCTATATTTTTTAATCATTAAAAAATATGGCACGGGGATATTTTTGATGATATAACTACAAATAGAATCCATTTTTTCATTCAAAAATTTAAATTATTTGAAGTAAAATGGGGTTGAAAGATCGTCTATAACTCTATTATCGTGTTTTTACGAGCCAACTTTGTAAAGAAACTCGTATAATTTATTTATTTACATATATATACGTTTAAAATACAAGAAAATTCTAAATTTTTTAAGGATTATAATGTTATAAAACATAAATTATGGTATTATTAAACGAGAGAGGAAGAATAAAAAACATTTCTCGTTTAACGTGAACATAAGAAATGGATATTTGGCAACTCATTGAAGATTATCAAGGTTCTATCAAACTAAAAAAAATAGCCAAAGACCGATAGCAAGATGATGAAATATAAAAATTGAGTTTAAAATCACTAGACTATACTCTAAATGTAATTTTTTTTATGTTGGATCTATTTATTACATGTTTCAATCGATACTTATATATGTGATGGCAAGTAGAGCATTGTAAAAATCAAATAAATTTATTTGATTAGTTGCCCTTTGGGTAAGAGGCCCGTATCCATCTCTTTCGTAAATATCACATAATCGATACAAACTGCCCCAATTCACGTAATTGTCAAAACTTATAAAGGAACTAAAGTTGACTCTTACTTTAATATATTTTTGATGTAGACTAATGCAGTTTTCTAGAAGTTCAATATTTATTTTATTAAACTTTAATAGATTTTTTTAGAGTTTAAAGTTAATCTACAGAGAATTTTTCTCTTTATTTGACTGTTTAAAATTAATCAGGGCAATTTTTGTACAAATGTAGACGTTTAAGATGGGTCATAAAAGTAAACAATCAAGGAAAACGCGTAAACACAAGCAGAAAAATAAGAAGAATAAATGTAAATAACAAAGATAATCAGTAAATATAAGTGCGCAATATTAAATAGTAAAGATAAGTACAGTACACAAATGTAAGCAGAGAGAGATTCATACATAAATATAAAAGGCAGAGCTATGCACATTAACGTAGGAACTAAATATAGATATGTAAAATTAAGAAATTCAGATAGATACATAAGTGTAAGTAGGGAGATAGGTGCATAAAAATAAATAATAAAGATAAGTGTATAAACATAAGCAGGAATGTAGATACACAAGCGTAAATACTGAAGAAGGTGGTAAAAATAAATAATAAATGTAAGTACGCAAACGTAAGCATTGGAAATATGTGCAAAAAATAAACAGCAGTAAAGACAGGTGCATAAACGTTGGCAGTACAAATTGGTACACAAATATAAGTAATGTAATAATACATACCACAGGAGGCATGTGCAGAAACGTACAAACTGAAGATAGGTAGACGACACTAAAATTAAATACACAAGCATAAAAAGTAAAATTACGTACACCAACGTAAGTAATAGTTATACACAAAAATGTAAACAATAATGTTGTATATCAGAAAAACGTAGAGTTTAAACGTACTGTACAGTACGAACAATTCACAAGATAAAAAATATAAAAAAATCACTTAATTTTTTATTATCGAATTGTATTAATTTTTAAAAATATCAAGTAAATGAAGTCATAGTAGGAATACAATTTATGACGGTGCAGAGGTTACGTGACAAGACGACATGTTCTCCTAATGATTCTCTAATGTCTTGTATTGGAATAACTTCGAGTCGGAGTGATGTCCAAATGAGTTTAGTCGACTTTTTTTTTAAATTTCTCCAGAAATTTGTACTAAACGCATTATACTAATTATCGTAAGTGCAACTTTAACATTATTTTAAAAATATGTTCTATTAATAAACCCGTAAAGGATAAGAATCCCACTCGAGTTGAGAGAAAGGTTTTTTTTCTGAATCGATTGAAATGTGGTTTTTTTAAGAAAGAAGATAGAATTAAGTGCAATTGTATGATAATGCAATCTACCTTTTCTTTATCGATCACGTGAATTATCTTTGTACCTGGTACCAATTCGATAAATGAGACATCAAAAAATTTATCTACCTTTGTCTTTCACTGTGTTTTTTTGATGATACCCTCCCGAATTATATAGATTTTTGTGTTAAATACCTGAAAATATCAAAAATTTACATCGTTTGGAATCATTTCGGTTTGGTAGATTTTTTGGGGGAAGAATTTTTTTTAATTTTTTAGAAAGATGAAGTAATGAGCTTTTAATGATGTCGAGAACAGTAATAAGTAGTCCATTAGTGTGTTAATAATCATACTAAACAAAAGCACTAAGTGTCGAGTCGGTGTTTTCGGTTGAGTTTTCAGTTCAGAAATCGCTTATATTCCACCGAGTTTTAATTTTTCCTCAGGCTTCGACAGCGAAAGGGTGTTTGTTGTTAGTCATTTAAATAACTAATTTAGTTGAAGACATGTTTCCATGTGATGAAACTAAAAAACAAAAATGAGTAAACAAATATATAAATTTTACCATTTTTCAAAATTATAATTTCTTTCCTTCTTAATTGAACTTATTTCTTGAGGATATCCGGAGTAAGGAGATGGCATAAGAATCTTCAATTTTTACTGTTGAAGAGTAAAAACAATAGAATTATTCTGATTTTTCTTGAGTATTTTGAAGCATTCTTCTTATTGAACATTGGAAACTGCAATGATTTTCTTTCTTGAGGCCATCCAGAGTAGGAAGATTATACAAGAATCTTCATTTTTGTACTGTTTAACAGTAAAATTTCATACATTATCCTGCTCTTTTTGATTTTTATGAATGCTTCTGAAGTACTCATCTCGCTTTCTCTCTTCTCCTGTTGAACCTACTGTATTTTTGAAGCACACAATCAATTGCAACTCTTATAAACTCTTATATCAACTTTTAATTTTGATTAAGATCTTTTAAGAATAAAAGTAAAGAACTTGAGTTTTACTTAACATCAAGTAAACGTAATATTTAATTGTAATTATGAATATTTTGAAAGCATGGTACCTGTTGAAAGTCTTTCATCGGCAAAATTTTAATTATATGATAATTTTTAAAAATCTTTTTATGAAGCGTTTATAGATTAATAAGATTTTTAAGCTAATTTTAATTATAAGAACGTTTGAACAATTTTGAAGTACAATTTTTGTAGAAAACACCACTTCTCGTATCAAAATAACAGTCGATTTTATTAAAACTTTTGAGAATTTTATTGAATTTTTAAGCTTAAAATAAAAAAATCGTTCAACTATTATTAATGTTACAAAAAATATATAATTATTTATAGTAATAAGCTCCGTCAAAAATTATTCCTTACCACAAAATCAGTTATATCTTACTAAAAAATTATTAATTTTTTAAAAATGTCTATATTTTCTAAATTAATTTTTAACATTAATGAAATTATCTGACAATTTTTAATCGTAAAAATAAAAGCTTGAACTGTCTCGAAGCAGTTTTCTTTACTGACAACGATTTCTTGAATTGAAATCAATTGAAATTCGTTGTCAAGATGTAA